TCAGACCTCTGTCCCAGAGATCTGTAATGGAGATTAAATTTTCCTAGTTTTCTCTGGATACTGTATTTTTCCAGGAGCTTACTACAGTAAAGGCTTTGAAATTTTCAGTCAGGAAGTTCTGCAGCGATACGTGCGGCTGCATCGCTGAGTGATCAGCACCAGCACCTGGCCAAGTGAGTGCTGTGCTTTCTTCCCTTTCACAGCTGACTGTAGTACTATCTAGGGATCTCTTCAATGCTGCCTTCATGTCTGTATGGACAGAACTGACCGAAGAGCTACAAGATAGGCTTACAGGATCCTTACTAACTGTATGTTATTGCTTCCGAATGAGTGATAATTTGGTTCTTTCATGTTGCTTGCGAAAATTATTGTGTGATCGAACAATGCAGTTAACTTTTTGGTTCAGCAGCAAGTCTTTGGTTTACTAACAGGTATTGTCTGGAATTCTCAGGCTCCTGAGAGCGAGTGAATCATTTTATGATGTTCATTCGAGACGATCCGCGGAAACCTGAGGGGCCGGGGGTTTTAGCTGAGTCATCGGACACATACCTGAAAGGGTAAGCTTGGCTCAAAACAAGATTGAAGGGGCACCTTCCTATGCTCATTCATAATTTTGCACAGCTGATTTTTTTCTTCCAATGAGAGGCGATAGGGGCTTAGAGGACAGGCATCAAGCTGAACCAGATTGTAGGTTTCCTTTCCAGCCCATGTAGTGTTGTCCATAGTCCCAGAGGTTGATTTGTATTCATCACTTCGCAGAAAGAAACAAGGGTGCGGGGGCCGTTATAAGTTGAAGCAACCTGTTGTGCCGACTTGGCATCCTGGGAACGAGATCAGCAGTTCTGCCCTTGAGCACAGGTGTCTGTAAGTGGTACACGGACAACCCGATGGTCTACCTTTTCTTTCAACTGCCCTTCTTACGCGGATTGTGAGACATTCCGCTTTCCTAGCAAAGCACGTAAGTTCAAATTTCCTCCCCCAGTGCGACCTCCTCCTCCCCGTTCCCTATCCAACCTAGCTGACATCTTCCTGAATTTACAACCCTTCTTTCGAAGACTTTTCCGAAGTCTGCTCTTTATTTCGCGTTAAATTCAACGCAAAACCTGTTGAGGCGGGGGGGGGTGTAACTCACCATCAGACAGAAAGGAGGAAGAACCGAGAAACTATCAACGATACGCGCTCTCTCCTCCGGCGACCGAAGACGACCCCTCTCCTCCTCGCTGGATCCTTCAGCGTACGACGAGTACTGTTTCGAAGGGCTGCTGTTAGTACTTGTTCTTGATGCTCAGAAAATCATTACTGTTAAGGGTCCTCTGCCGATTGCATATGATCGTTTGGGGAAGAGTGCTGAAGAGACAAAAGCATATGCCAAAGCGTTGCGCTACAAGGAGCTTCAGATCCATAAGCATCTGAATAGAGGCGGCGGTCGATTAACGACAGAGGATTGCCAAGCGCTCATCACGTAAGGCCTACTCACTTACAAGAACTCATTCTGAAGATTTTTATCGAGTTCCTTGGGTGAAAAGGTGCTCTTTAAGGTATGCAAATAAGTTGAATGTCCAGGAAGAGGCCGCTGGTGTTGTACGGTATGCTGAACAACATGAAATGGTTATTCCGGTAAGTGCCGCACGGGTGACCACCCACTTTTTTTATTGTGCTCTGGAACGCCACCATTTGTGGCTAAGGACGCCTAAAAGTTCACTTTCAGATGCTTGGACGATGGTACGAGAAGTTGAATGAATGGGAGAAGGCCCTCGAAGCTTACATGGTATTGTACCGTTTTTTCGAATAATTTTCGCTTTAAATTGAAAATGATTTTTGCATTTTGTCTTCTCCTCCCCTTCCTTCATAGAGAGAGTAGGGGGGGGGGTCTTTGTGAGTGCCTAATAGCTTTTGCAACCTTTGTTGGTTAAACTAAAGTTATATGCATCATGCTTAGATCAACAGGTTCATCAGGGAGGGGAAGGGGTTATCTCTTCGTATGGTTCAGGTTACTGGTCCTGAATCTGCCTTTCGAACCTACTGAAAGAAGAGTTTTGACTTCTCACTGTATCCAGCGTCCATATGTACCTTATTTTACCGCTACCAGTCGTTCTGATCAGACCTCCGTCATGACGTGTCGGTCTCTAACGAGTCGACCTATCCAACTTGCCAACTATTATTAAATCGCAAAAATATATGAAATAGAGCATAACAAATGAAATAACTTCCGCTGCTTGAAGTCCGATCCGGAACCGTCGTCCGACGAGATGATCGGGCACCAAATGCGATGCCTGGAGGCGTTAGGACGTTGGAGTGAACTGAACGAACGTGCACGAACCGTACAACGAAAGGATCAGAAGGTTGCTGTGATGGCTGCACGCGGAGCATGGGCAGTCGGTAAGAGTGTCACACTTTTCTTCTTTTTTTTTCTCAGGTTTTTGTATCTTCTCTATATAAAATGGATTTCTTGTGGAGGATGAATTCGGGTTACTCAATCGGGCAACCTTAGGTCTGCGGCAAGTGGCCCCTTACTACTCCGGAGGTCGAAACCCCGTTCAGCTCCTGCTTAGGTCGTCCAGGCCTTCTACGCTTCGGGAACGGCAAATTGTACCAGATACGTCTGCTACGATAAGAACTCTGACTTGTAATTGGCTGGCTCCTTTGTATAGGCCACATTGCAGTCGATAAGCCACTACGATTCCGAATAGAAGTGGAGTGCGT